ATTAACAAAAGACCAAAATTCAAAATATCTAAAAAACAGAGACAAGTAATTTAGGTAAAAAAAAAAAGCAATGGAGAAATGTGTAAAAAAACTTGAATAAAAACTCAAGAGAAAAGGACATATGAATGATTAATTTTAATGATCAGTAAATGATAAATAAATGATAAAGTAACTCAGATTCCTCAACCATCATGGAAAAGAAAATTACATTTTTTCATATATATCAGATTGACAGAAAAATAAGAAAATAAATATAATTTTAAATTATGAAATATACCTGTAGAAAAATGCATTAAAGAAATGTATACCTTAAATATTATAAACTTTATAGCCATCTTCCAGCTCCAGAAGACCCAGCAACCTCCTTCAGTCACAATAGACTTTCTCTCAACTTGGAACAAGGCTCAGTGTTATGTGGCAGCCTGGGTGGGAGGGGAGTTTGGGAAAGAAAGGATACATGTATCCTTTCTACTAAGTTGACTTTTGGCAGCAGCTTTCTAATTTCCTAGAGGAAAAAATGAAGCGATAGAAGGAGTACTATCACGGCAGGTTTTAAGATACGAATGTGTCTACTGACAGTTTTACACTCAGCTCTGGTGAGCATGTACAAACCCACTCTAACATTCAAGGGACATTTTCTTCACTTGATTTTTTTTCTTGTTAACAAACTAGGTTTATTTTCTATATCAGTTTTCCCTTCTTTTTTTTTTTTGGAACCAGTTTTAGATTTGTTTATTTTCTGTGTTCTATTGTTTTCTTTAAAAAACAAAACAAAACAAAAAACTTTTATTTTGTATTGGGTATTCCCTGGTGGCTCAGATGATAAAGAATCCGCCTGCAATGTGGGAGAGCTGGGTTAAATCCCTGGGTTGGGAAGATCCCCTGGAGAATGGAAGGGCTACTCACTCCACTATTCTGGCCTAGAGAATTCCATGGACAGAGGAGGATGGTGGGCTACAGTCCATGGGGTCGCAAAGAATTGCATAGGACTGAGAGGCTTTCACTCACTATAATCGATTAATAAACAATGTTGTGATAGTTTCAGGTGAACAGCAAAAGGACTCAGCCATACATATACATGCATCCATTCTTTCCCAATCTCGCCTTCCATCCAGGCTGCCACATAACACTGAGCAGTGTTCCATATGCAATATTTTGCTATCCAATGGGTCCTTGTTGCTCATCTATTTTAAATATAGCAATGTGTACCTGTCCATCCCATGTTCTATTATTTTCTAACTCATAAATCTCTTCTTGTAATATTTAAAAAATTTTTTAATTGAAGTATAATTGATCAACGATGTTATTCTAGCCTCTGCTGTGCAGCAAAGGGATCCAGTTATACACATATAGATGTTTTAAAAATGTTCTTTTCCACTATGTTTTATCATGTGATATTGAATACAGTGGGCTTCCCAGGTGGCTCAGTGGTAAAGAATCTCCTGCCAATGCCAGAAGATGCAGGACATGCGGGTTCCCTCCCTGGGTCAGGAAGATCCCTTGGAAAAGGAAATAATAGCGCACTCCAGTATTCTTGCCTGGAAAATTCCATGGACTTTTTACCACAGAGGAGACTGATGGGCTACAGTCCATGGGATCACAAAAACTCAGACACGACTGAGCAGCTGAGCACAACATTGAATATAGTGCCCTATGGTATATAGTAAGAGCTTTTTGGTGTTTATTCCTTCTACATGTAATAGTTTGCATCTGCTAATCCTACGTTCCCAGTGCTTCCCTCCTCCACCCCTCCTCCTTGGCAACCAACAAAATTGTGATTAGGGACACAGGGGTTCAGTCCTTTATTTCTCTTCTTATCATCTCCAGCAGGTCACTTAGCCTCCTCTTTGGATTTCAGCTTTCTCAGCTAGAAAACTAGGATATATTTGATGATCTCAAAATTTCTACATTGCTCTCTAGTTTCATGAAATACATCCCTATCATCCACTTGTGACTCCAAGAATTGAATTGAGTCTACAATGTGAATTTTAAAGTCTCAAATTTTTTAAATAACAATATAATAGTGAATCTGTAGTTTCTTTTTAATTACAAGAAGACATGCTTCTAATGATGCTTTAGCTGAAATTTAGGAGCCTGAGCGTCAGACAGATTCAAGACTCTATAAATGTCAGAATCAATCCACTGTTGAAAGTTATCATGAAAGGTTCATGAGTAAGCATTTCTATAAATCCTTTGAAATTCTTGAAGTAAACAAACACAAAGATTGTTATTAATGAAAAATAAAGTATAATGCACCCCTTTGTGAATGGGTTAGTGAAAATGAAAGTCGCTCAGTTGTGTCTGACTCTTTGCAACCCCATGGACTATAGAGTCCATGGAATTCTCCAGGCCAGAACACTGGAGTGGGTAGCCTTTCCCTTCTCCAGGGGATCTTCCCAACCCAGGGATCAAACCCAGGTCTCCCACATTGCAGGAAGATTTTTTACCAGTTGAGCTATAAGAGAAACCCAAGAATACTGGAGTGGGTAGCTTATCCCTCCTCCAGCAGGAATGGGTTAAGATGAAGGCAAAAAGTAACAATTATTTTATCAGAGTAAGATTGTACAAAAAGATTTTCTAAGGTTTGGAAGTTACAGAGAAATAAATAATAATGAGAATACTATTAAATATTGACAGATTCTACATCTAGAATTTCCTTTAAAAATATAAACCAAAAACAAAAGTTTATTTAGAGATAATTTAAAAAATAATGTGAGAGAATGAGAGCCAAATTGTCACAGAATCTTTAATTCACTCATATTGTATAAAATGCACATGTAAAAATCTATGTATTAAGAAATCTATATAGCAACTGGATAGAAGTCAATGTCTTTTGTGGAAGAGTTAATGTTCAGTTCAGTTCAGTGGTTTAGTTGGGTCCGACTCTTTGCAACCCCATGGACTGCCGGCTTCCCGGTTCATCACCAACTCCCGGAGCTTACTCAAACTCATGTCCATTGAGTCAGTGATGCCATCCAACCATCTCATCCTTTGTTGTCCCCTTCTTCTCCCACCTTCAATCTTTCCCAGCATCAGGGTCTTTTCCAATAAGTCCATTCTTCACATCAGGTGGCCAAAGTATTAGAGTTTCAGCTTCAGCATCAGTCCTTCCAGAGAATACTCAGGATTGATTTAGGATGGACTGGTTGGATCTCCTTGCAGTCCAAGAGACCCTCAAGAGTCTTCTCCAACACCACAGTTCAAAAGTACCAATTCTTCAGTGCTCAGCTTTCTTTATAGTCCAACTCTCACATCCATACATGACTACTGGAAAAACCATAGCTTTGAGAATACAGACCTTTGTTGGCAAAGGAATGTCTCGACTTTTTAATATGCTGTCTAGGTTGGTCATAACTTTTCTTCCAAGGAGCAAGCATCTTTTAATTTCATGGCTGCAGTCACCATCTGCACTGATTTTAGAGCCCCCCAAAATAAAATCTCTCACTGTTTCCATTGTTTCCTCATCTATTTGCCATGAATTGATGGGACCAGATGCCATGATTTTAGTTTTCTGAATGTTGAGTTTTAAGCCAACTTTTTCACTCTCCTGTTTCACTTTCTAGAGTTAATGTTGCCATAGCAAAATGAAATATCTTAAGTTTTGAATTTCCCTGTATACATGTTCAAGCATTGATGTGAACATAATATATCTTACTTTTAGCTACTAACACTAAAAATTCCAGAAACAAAATTAAGAGGGAAACAAAATGCCCTTCATTTACATTTATTTTCTAAAGTCATTTTAAGTCTTCCATTTTATAAAATGTTATTATGGAACAATGGCAATCATTGCCTACTCTCTATGCAATCTAAATAAATGCTGTCTGAGTAGTTTTTCTCTGTATCTCACCACATGTTTAACTACAGGATTATAATTTTGTAGTCCTAAAAAATGCATTGATTTTTACATGCATATAAGGAGACCAGTTGGAATAGGAAATCGCAACTCCAGTATTCTTGCCTGGAAAATGCCAAGGGCAGAGGATCCTGGCAGGCTACAGTCCATGGAGTTGTAGAGTTGGACATGAGTGAGCAACCGAGCACAAGCATACAAGTAACAATGCTAAAAATAGAAGAATAAATGTATCTAGTCTATCATGTTATTTACCTTTCAAGAAAAGAGAAGATATATCATATGCAACATTTTTTTTAAAAATTTATAATGCAGCATAGTTTCCTTTTCCTTTCTAATAAATATTTGAAAGACATGTAATATTAAACAGTTCATCTAGTTGAAAACCTTATGTGAAAATATTGGGGCAATGGTTTTTGGCAACATGAAGACATCTACTGCCACACAGTGTTCTATGAGTGTTCTTTCATAAGTCAGTCCCAGAAGCATATAAGCCAGCAAGAGAAAGAGCTCAGCAGATTTCTGAAATTTTGGCCAAATAGTCCCCAGTTATGGACAGGAGACAATGGTTTCTCAAAGAGCCAAAGTGGACTTAAAAATAAAATTAACATAATAATAATGCTTGGCATGGTATGAAAGACAGTGAATGAGCATTTATTTTGGCTAGACTGATTTAAATTTAGAATTTATCACATGATTTGCATAAGCTTGGGAGAGTTAATCACTTTAGTCTATTTTTCTCTTCTCTAAAATGGGGATGATGATGCCTGCTTGTTAGGGTTGTTATGAAGATAAATGTATACAACAGCATAGACACATGATAAGCATTTACATGTTAAATTCCCATTGCCCTTGTAGTGATCATATTTTTTAATGGACCACTGTTCAAAAAATATAGAAATTCATGTAAAGAATAAAATGTGAGCATCCCCATCCAAATAGGGAAAAATATTCCTTGAAAATGAATGTAAATAAAGTGGATTATTTAAATGGAAATTGAAGTGAATTAAGAAAACATTCAAATTTCCTCTAACGTGGTCAGAGCCAAATCAAATACAAAAGCAGAGTCCTGGACAAACAATATGGTAGGTGTGTCTATTTCCTGCCATAAAGTGAATTTCTAATTATGTTGTGCCTGTTGTTTCAGAGGCAAAGGCCCGTTGAAAAATACATCTGATGTCATTAATGCTGCCAAGAAAATTGCCGAAGCAGGTTCTCGAATGGACAAATTAGCCCGTGCTGTGGCTGATCAGGTAATGTAAGAGGGAAGAGCAAGCACATGTTGAGTGGGGTCATTAACTAGCTCTTGGGTTCTGTAATGGGTTTTATGCACTCTATTAAATGCCTCTGAAGAATGAATTGTAGAGAATCGCTAACATTTTACAAACTGACCTCTAACTCTGTCAAGATTGAGTTGATACCAAAGGTGGGTTCTGTTTTCAAAGTTCCTTTAGAAAGAAGGGTATCCACTTTTTAAGAGACATAACCTTCAAGGAATCATAGATTATCCTGGCTGTCCTCATTCAGAAACACAGTGACATTGCACAAGTGGAAAGCAAAAGAAACAACTTAATTTCTTGTTATAATTGATCTCACTATAATGATGCTCTTTATAATTCATTATAATTAATGTCCTGGCATAAATGTGATAAATCCACATAATCAAGAACATTCAGAGTTCAGCTTTATTTTCATCCAGACTCAAAGTGCATCAGAAATTAACAAAATTCTCAGAGTATCTTTTGTGCCTTTAGATTGAATTAAGATTCACGTCAAAATAGTTCTCAATCTCAAGGTTGAATATTTGAGCTTATTTCCACTCTTTTCATTTTATTTTGCTGAACTGGAACTCTAAAATCCTGTTCTAAGTATGTCTTCTTTCAATAATGGGCCATTTCTTATAAGTGCACTTTAGGCAATAGACTCTTTCAAATAACTGATGCTTATCTCTTTAAACAATGGTGGCTTACAGTTTGAGCCAGTTTCAAAGGAAAATGTCTTGAAATATATATTAAGATTCTGCAATAGAAAATACTATATAAACTGTTATTTACATGGAAAAAGCATTATGAACACGAATTTACTACGAAACAGATCATCCTCTTTGAGAACACTGAAAGATTTAAGATTTTTTCCTCCTCTGTGGAGGAGGGCTTCTCTGTAGCTCAGTTGGTAGAGAATCTGCCTGCAATGCAAGAGACTGCCTGTTGTGTAGGAGATTCGGGTTTGACCCCTGGGTCAGGAAGATCCCCTGGAGAAGGAAATAGCTACCCATTCCAGAATATTTGCCTGGGAAATTCCATGGCGGACTACAGTCCATGGGATCACAAAGAGTTGGACATGACTTAACAACTAAACCACAACCACCTCCTCCATAAATGGCTGTGGTCTCCTGTGGTTTTTGAGTTGCTTATTATAGTTTATCTCCCTCATTTTCTAATATAAGACTGTCCCTCTAAATACTTGCCTTCAACTTCCCAAGTTATAGAATACCTCATCAATACCAAATTTACTCATCTCCTAAAGTCTGAAAAGAAAAACTCATGCTTAAACTATTGGAATTGCTTTTAAAATAAGTCAGCAGATTGTCTCATATTATATATATGATAGCAAATCTGGGGGAATGTTTTGCTTACTTTTGAATTTTTGAGAAACACTTAAGAGTAAAAATAATTTACTAAATATTACCAAAATTTGAAAATCTCCTGAAATTTGTAGTGATTAAGGACCAAACCATTATTATATTGCTAATTTCAGGGCACTACTGATTGCCAAGCTTCCTACATTTTGCAGCAAAAGTTGAGTTTCATATGTCACCCAGAAGGTTCATGTAAAAGAGAGGAGAGAAAATGAGTTTATTTGAAAATAGCTCTCATATATGCAAACATACAGAAAGGCACCAGCCAGGAAAGAATGCTGCATTTTTTTCTGCAAATGTTGAGGCAATTTTCTGCATATGTTGGGATAAGTGGAGTGACCAGATATTGGCAGGTGGTTCTGAGAGAGGGTTGTGCTAGGATGGACTCTTAAGGAGTAAAAGTAGATGAGGTTTGGATGGTTTTTCCATTATATTCCAAATCTCAATGGCTGAAACTACTTCTCAGTAAGTTTAGGCTCCTTGAGCTCAATATTTTTTATTGTGATTCTTATTTTTGATTTTGAAATTTTGGATCTTTATTTCAAACAATTATATATCAGGAAACACAGACCCTGAACAGCTTTGCTATCTGGAAAACATATCACAGGTGCACACACACATACAAATACCAGGATTTTAGATGTATCTTGAGATTGTGACAAAGTGTTAAAATGATATTTAATGATGATGTAACAAAGAAAAGATAAACACAACCTCTTTGTAGCATTTTTCCTGTCATCAGTTGTGAAGCAACCTGCAATTTTTGCTAATGTTTGGTCTGAATGGAACATTTCTTTTTCAAATAATGCATCCATTTCTACTATTCCAATGGTATAAAAGTTATTTTTCTTGGTCCATAATGCCTTTATGTATGTTTTAAATACTTCAGTTTAAATAACAGAATAAAATGAGCATTTCCAAAATGTGCATTGGTTGGCTTTATTTTGCCAGAAAATATTTTTATAAAGATTTGAGATATGCACACAGTATAAACTTTTTATGGACTGTTGCATTTTTAATTACTGTTCCATTGAGATAGAACTTCCATTTTAGTTTGCTGCAAGCTATTTGTATCAAAGGCCTTTAGGGAGATATCATTTTAAAGTTAATTCCTTTCAATATATGGGTGTCTGGAGAAGGATAAATATTACAGTATGAAGTACTTGTAGGAAGCTAAAAACAGTCTCTGTGGGATTCTTTCTTGATAAATGCAGTTAGTGAAAAAAAAAATACCACAATGGTAAGTGTTATATAGAAAAAAGACCCCTTTGTAACTTATTAAATAAATGGCTATGTCAAATGACTGGCTTCACAGTATTAATGAAAGAATTCCCTTTCTTGGGCTTGAAGAAAGCTTAGCTGGAGTCTTTTTCTCATACTCTTGTTCTAAATAAGGTACTTTACTTTGGGCTGTAGGTACTCATTTCTTACAGTGTTTCATCAAGGATCTGGTGATTATATGTCCTTTTTAAGTGCCAGATTGAGGGAGAACAATAGAATATCCTGGAGAATTTTGAACTGAACTTTGGATAGCAATAGGAATATATTTCAATTACTTGATAGCTGTTGTCACTGAAGCTTCAGAAATGCTTTAGGGAATCATGTAAATGTCTCTGAAAGTGTTCAGCTCTGTTCAGTGTGTCTTTGATGGACATCTACCCACTTAAGTTACAAAAAGAATTCAAAACCCTTGGTCACCAGATTCTTTTTCTAAGAATTCAAAATCTCTGCTACATCCTTGGAAGGGTCTTATTGTTACACTGATAAGCTTATTTCAATGGGATTCCAACTCATTTTACTCACATCTTTTTCTTTTACAATGGTCTTGATCCTTCTCACAGTCTCTGGTTTAAATTAAGTTTATCATGTTGCTAAATTTTTTTTTCCCATTTATTTTTATTAGTTGGAGACTAATTACTTTACAATATTGTAGTGGTTTTTGTCATACATTGACATGAATCAGCCATGGATTTACATGTGTTCCCCATCCTGATCCCCCCTCCTGCCTCCCTCTCCATCCCATCCCTCTGGGTCATCCCCGTGCACCAGCCCTGAGCACTTGTCTCATGTATCCAACCTGGGCTGGTGATCTCTTTTACCATAGATAATATACTGGTTTCAATGCTATTCTCTCAGAACATCCCACCCTCGCCTTCTCCCACAGAGTCCCAAAGTCTGTTCTGTACATCTGTGTCTCTTTTTCTGTCTTGCATATAGGGTTATTGTTACCATCTTTCTAAATTCCATATATATGTGTTAGTATACTGTATTGGTCTTTATCTTTCTGACTTACTTCACTCTGTATAATGGGCTCCAGTTTCATCCATCTCATTAGAACTGATTCAAATGAATTATTTTTAATGGTTGAGTCATATTCCATAGTGTATATGTACCATAGCTTCCTTATCCATTCGTCTGCTGATGGGCATCTAAGTTGCTTCCATGTCCTGGCTATTATAAACAGTGCTGCGATGAACATTGGGGTTCATGTGTCTCTTTCAGTTCTGGTTTCCTCGGTGTGTATGCCCAGGAGTGGGATTGCTGGGTCATATGGCAGTTCTATTTCCAGTTTTTTAAGGAATCTCCACACTGTTCTCCATAATGGCTATACTAATTTGCATTCCCACCAACAGTGTAAGAGGGTTCCCTTTTCTCCACACCCTCTCCAGCATTTATTGCTTGTAGACTTTTGGATAGCAGCCATCTGACTGGCATGTAATGGTACCTCATTGTGGTTTTGATTTGCATTTCTCTGATAATGAGTGATATTGAGCATCTTTTCATGTGTTTGTTAGCCATCTGTATATCTTCTTTGGAGAAATGTCTGTTTAGATCTTTGGCCCATTTTTTGATTGCGTCATTTATTTTTCTGGAATTGAACTGCAGGAGTTGCTTGTATATTTTTGAGATTAATCCTTCGTCTGTTTCTTCATTTGCTATTATTTTCTCCCATTCTGAATGTTGTCTTTTCACCTTGCTTATAGTTTCCTTTGTTGTGCAAAAGCTTTTAATTTTAATTAGGTCTCAGTTGTTTATTTTTGCTTTTATTTCCAATATTCTGGGAGGTGGGTCATAAAGGATCTTGCTGTGATTTATGTTTTGGGGAGGAGAGTGTTTTGCCTATGTTCTCCTCTAGAAGTTTTATAGTTTCTGGTCTTACATTTAGATCTTTAATCCATTTTGAGTTTCTTTTTGTGTATGGCGTTAGAAAGTGTTCTAGTTTCATTCTTTTACAAGTGGTTGACCAGTTTTCCCAGAACCACTTGTTAAAGAGGTTGTCTTTTTTCCATTGTATATTCTTGCCTCCTTTGTCAAAGATAAGGTGACCACAGGTACGTGGATTTATCTCTCGGCTTTCTATTTTGTTCCATTGATCTATATTTCTGTCTTTGTGCCAGTACCATACTGTCTTGATGACTGTGGCTTTGTAGTAGAGCCTGAAGTCAGGCAGGTTGATTCCTCCAGTTCCATTCTTCTTTCTCAAGATTGCTTTTGCTATTAGAGGTTTTTTGTATTTCCATACAAATTGTGAAATTATTTGTTCTAGATCTGTGAAGAATACCGTTGGTAGCTTGATAGGGATTGCATTGAATCTATAGATTGCTTTGGGTAGTATACTCATTTTCACAATATTGCTTCTTCCAATCCATAAACACGGTATATTTCTCCATCTGTTTGTGTCCTCTCTGATTTCTTTCATCAGTGTTTTATAGTTTTTTATGTATAGGTCTTTTGTTTCTTTAGGTAGATATACTCCTAAGTATTTTATTCTTTTTGTTGCAATGGTAAATGGTATAGTTTCCTTAATTTCTCTGTTTTCTCATTGTTAGTGTATAGGAGTGCAAGGGATTTCTGTGTGTTAATTTTATATCCTGCAACTTTACTATATTCATTGATTAGCTCTAGTAATTTTCTGGTAGAGTCCTTAGGGTTTTCTATGTAGAGGGTCATGTCATCTTCAAACAGTGAGAGTTTCACTTCTTCTTTTCCTATCTGGATTCCTTTTATTTCTTTTTCTACTCTGATTTCTGTGGCCAAAACTTCCCAAACTATGTTGAATAGTAGTGGTGAGAGTGGGCACCCTTGTCTTGTTCCTGATTTTAGGGGAAATGCTTTCAGTTTTTCACCATTTAGGATAATGTTTGCTGTGGGTTTGTCATATATAGCTTTTATTATGTTGAGGTATGTTCCTTCTATTCCTGCTTTCTGGAGAGTTTTTATCATAAATGGATGTTGAATTTTGTCAAAGGCTTTTTTCTGCATCTATTGAGATACTCATATGGTTTTTATCTTTCAATTTGTTAATGTGGTGTATTACATTGATTGATTTGTGGATATTAAAGAATCCTTGCATTGCTGGGATAAAGCCCACTATTCCAGAAAGTGCAGTAGAGTTTCTTTAGTGAATGATACATTTCTTAGAAAGCCAAAAGAAACAAATGCATTTTCCAACAAATCGAATTGAAACTGTCTTCTACTATGGCAGAGAGACTGTCACACAGAATGATTTCCTTCTAGCATCTGTTGCTTTGTTGTCTGTGTTAAAATAACTTTGCATATAGTGAACATGGAATGGGCCACTAGGAGAAATCCTATAAAATATTGTTTTCTTTGCAGTTTAGAAGATAATTGATAAAATACTTATACATTCATCCCAATAAGACTTTCTGGGAAATCATCAATATTCTTTGTATAGAATTTTATCAAAGTAGAATTAACCACTCTCACCTATCACTGTGGCCTTCTAAATTCCCTAAAGCATTTCTGAAGCTTTAATGTACTATCAAGTTGAATGGATATAATTAAGGTATATGACAGTGAAAACTTTTCTTCTCACAGCTTCTATATAGCAAGTATTAGAAACTGAAAGATTCTTACTAATTGAGATAATTTTTTTAATGTTTTATAGTGTCCTGATTCAGCATGTAAGCAGGATTTATTAGCCTACCTTCAACGAATTGCCTTGTATTGCCATCAGCTTAACATCTGCAGCAAGGTGAAAGCCGAAGTACAGAATCTGGGAGGAGAGCTCATTGTGTCAGGGGTAAGCTGGGACCTGGGCTTCACAATTCAAGTTTCCACTGTTGTTCTTTCAAGGCAAGAATTCTTGGCAACAGTACTGCTAAAAACACCAAACTACAGTGATTCATAGGTAGTTTTTTTCTTCTTTTTAAATGTTATCACCATTATTCCAGACCTTACAATAACTCACAATGAACAATTTGATTTTCCAATTACCCTGTGTTTATACTAGCCTTATAAAATCTCCATTCTTCACAAGAAAACTAATTTCATAGTCTGGAAAGTCATTGCCAAGTTGACTATTATAATTATTTGGGGCTTTTGTATATTTACTCATTATAAGTCTACTTCCCTCTGTTAGTCCTAGTAATTTTCATTCTCTGTTCAGGAGCCAGCCTCTCTATGTGTGGATTGTGTTCACATGTTAGAGATGGTGAAAACAACAGGAATTCATTCATCAGGTTCCAATGCATACTAGGTTATCAATAACCTTTAAAAGCCAGAAAGCATTTGAATTGAATACAGGTTGATGTGCTGTTGCCAAAAACTAACATGGTTGTCAGACACTAACAATTATAGATCCTTTATTCAATCACTTCCATGTTTCCCTTCTCATGAAAATATAATTATCTGGTCCATTTTCATCAAATGCAAAGAAACAAAAAGCTCAATGAATAGAAGTATCATGATTTCTTGGCAAGATTTCCAAATGTATGTGTTGAGGTTCTTACCTTGGCTTCTTCTCCTCCCTCAGTCCCTTTCTTTCAACACAAGATGCCATCTATTGTAAACTATTTGCAAATTCCAAAGTGTGGCTCTGCCACCTTTAGTTCTTTTCCCAGTCAGCCATGATGTTGCTATTTTCAGTGTGGCATTACCAGAAACAGAATATTATCCATATGGTGAATGCCTTGTGAACGTTAGACTGGTCATGAAGTTCAATTCTTCCTCAAGATATTTCCAAAAATTCACCATTTGATTAAAAATATGTGCAAAAATCATTCTTGAACCCAAAGGTTTCAGTTCCTGTATTGTTTGGCATTAGAAAACCTAGCTGGGAAAAGAGCTTATCTGGCTTGCATGGAGATTCCATTTAGAAAGTCTGTTCCATGCAGTCTCATCTAGCGCCCAGTAAATTGCAATTTTGTGCCTCTTAGCATAGTCACCCCTCCTTTTCCAAAATGATCCCGCTTCAACATTCTTCAACAACCAAGAGCAATCTGTCTTGCAATGTGTCCTTCCTGCCACATTGGTTATTACCAAGATTCTCTCTGCCAAGAAGTGATCGAAATATTGCATTTCCCTTGCTTCCTTTCTTATCTTCAGCCTCAATGGTATAGTTTCCCATACCATTCAGCTTTCATGTCCATCTGTATCAAGCACCTGTGGGACTGAGTGCATTTTGTTTCGCTTGCCTTGTGTGCTTTCATTTGTTACTTTCCAAATCTTATTATTTACATGGATGCGCAGAGCATCTTTGTGGATCTCAGACTCCACAACCTCATCTAAGTGAGTTTTACAGGCAGAGTTGCTCTCCATCATCCTCTCAGTGCCCATTGTTTATCACTGCCTCCAGAGCTTCATTTCCATTGTATTTTCCTCATTTAGTTGTAGTCCAAACCATCACTGGCTTCTATCACTTGCACTGTTGGCATTTGCAGAAGTGTTTGAGAACACTTATCATAGAGCCTGTTTCCTTCTTTGAGTCTTATTGGCAATGTTCGTAAATCCTTGCATGGGAGAAGGCTTCTTTCCGAGGAATGTTATACCACTTTATAATAATTCTGAGTCAAATGCGTTATAAAGATTTGTTTATATTTCTCAGTTATGGGCCTGCTCTTGGTTTCTTCATGATTTTTTTCCAAGCTTGATTGCTATTTGGTGCCACACCTGCATCTGTAGTCTGCTGTCTTTGCCACTCTGCCTCCATCTTCTTCATCCTTCATTGATGGCCAATAGAGAAAAACAACAACAACAACATGTTTATTTTGCACAGTAGCACACATGACTGTCTTCGAAATTCTGAAAGAGTCAAGAATGTGAGACCCCATACACACAAACTTTCAATGATTTTGCCAAGAAAGTTCACCCATGCTTTGGGCCCCATTTATTTTGTTGTCTGGCATGATGAAGTTGCCACATTTTAAAGGAGAAGTTGCTATATTAAATACAGTATGCATATATATATATATATAAAATATAGTATTGCATATAATATGCAATTAAAAAGAGAAATACTTGAATTGCCCTTCCTTTTTTCCTATGTCTTTGTGTACATGGTATTCAAAACTGTGGCTTCCCCAGGACAATATTTTCATTAGAAGTCAAAGTTTCTACTGAAGCAGAAGAGATTTGAATAATTTTTTTTTCCATTTTGTCAAGAAAAATTATTTGGATTTAAAAACTGAATGCTGTGTTTTTATAGTCTTATGCTGGCATGATGAACTTAAACTAAAAATATGCACACACTGTGCATAACTGTATACCATGTCAGCTTGTGTATGTTTTATGTGAGTCTATGTGTACAAAGTGGGAAAGGCTTCTTCTATGGTGTCTGCCTCTCACTTGAGAGTTGGCTCAGGAAATCTCAATAGGACATGGTGACAGTGGGTGAAAAACTTTTCATGAGTCATGATGGGAACTAGAGAAGTAGAGGAAACCAGGGTATACGCCTATGAATGTTCATTCACACAACTGCTATCTAAGAAGCAGCATTAGTTTTCTGGCTGGCAATCAATGTTTTAAAGTCATTGGCTTAAACATTTCTCAACAGTGGAAAGGTGCCATTCTTATTAAATCTCACAGTAGAAGATGCATATTTGTGAGCCAGTTCAGCTCAATGTGGTTGCTAAGCAGGTAATGGGAAAGGGAATTAAAAAAACAAAGAAAACCTCAAAGAGTGATAGAAATGTTAGAGGGAGAGCAGAGGAAATGAAAACCCAGACAATTAAACAGCCTGATAGTTTATATACTGGCTTTATTTGCTTGTTAATTTAATTGTGGTAGTTTAATCTTTTAAGCTGGTTTACATGCTTTCTGAAAAAAATGACTGTTGGAAGAAGAAAAGAAAAAGAGGAAAGGGGAGAGGAGGAAGGAAGAAGCATAAAAGAAGGAAAAAGAGAAAACAAAGGAAAAATAAATTTAACCATAGCATAATATAAATAAGTTCAGTTCAAGTAATACCCATTAAAGGTGACAACATTTTGTTCATCATGGGAGACAAGTTGAACCACAATATGTTTTGAATACAAATCAGTTCCAATGCCATGCTATGGAAATTACCTGTATATTTGATTGTCATATTTTTAATTAATTCTGCATTCAGTTTCAGAGAATTTAATACATTCTTTTAAATTTAAAAAATGGAGATATACACATGCAACTGAAGAAACAAAAACCATTTTATAATCTTTAGTTACCCAAAGATTTATAGTTTGTACATTATTATGAATGAGATTCAAAACACAAATGTAGGGATTTCGAATATAGAATGTCGAATATCAAGCATTCTGATAAAACCGAAAAATTCCATCTGAAATGTTAAGTTTAAATACAACAGGAGCCCCATTATAACAATAAAACCAGAACAGAAGAGCGATAACTCTGCTCTCGACAAGAACTTGATGTTCAGATTCAGAGATGGAGGGCCACTAATATAACTTAGAGCTGACTCTCTGTGAGAAGTTATAAAGTTAATAGATTTTATTGCAAATAAATGCCTTTTTTCATGCAAACAAAATATAGGGACAGAGTTTAGAGGTGACAAATGTTAGTTCCCTTAGTCCTCAGGCTGATTAAGAGGAGCCATGACCTATTCCTGAAGGACTGAGTAATTTGCCCTAATGTGAACTTTAGTTCTTTTGTCTTTTAAATATCTCCTTTCCAAATTTGAATTCCTCTCAATTGGATTATGGAGAAAAGTTGGACAAGGTGAGCAAGCATAATTTGCAACACTGGTAGGATCTGGCTTGGTAAAAAGAAAATTGGAGAATAAGGGGTCAATTATGTTTCATATCATTCAAACATTGGGCTCAGTTAAAACTAATATTCATGGTAATAGCTAAAAAACACTCATAAAAATACTAGAAACTGGTCATATTTAAGTCAATTTGAATAAAATACTTATATGCTATATGCACATGCTTACATATATACACACAACAAATAAAGCTGATTTGCTTCCTTGTCCCCTTAATAAGCAATAATTAAGAAATGAACAAATGATTGACAACTGTGACATATCTAATTGAATGTAATACAATTTTGGGGAACATATAGGGTTTCTTTTACAATGTTATATATATATTTGTACAATACCATATATATATATATATACACATACCTATATATATGTGTGTATGTGTGTATATATATTCACACACACATACACATATATATAATGGTGGTTGTTTGAGATGAGCATTGCATTATACTTGAAAATTTTTTTATTCCCTCTATAAAAAAGTATCAGTATTTTGTAATGAGAAGAAACAATCACTGAAACAAGCATTGTATTGATACCTAGTTGTGTAGACTCGTACTTTAAGCATGATTTTGGGGGAAAAGAGTCTTTTTTAATGTATCTTCTGATTCTGTCTATTGTCAATTCTTGATTATCTCCACTGATCAAAGTATAGTAGTAATGGGAAAAAATCTAAATTGCTAGCTATTTCAGTTTGGGTTTGGAATGCATTTCTATGCTTCATTTAAAAAAAAAGGGTATGTGTTCAGGCGACTCACAGCAGTTTCAAAGAATTTTATACAGACCTTCCAGAGGGTAAGTTATTAAGTATTTGGTTTAAAGAACTTTTTCTGATCTTGGGAAAGTAGGAAAATTCAGATCCAAGGAAAGTAATATTAAAGCTAATGTCATATTATCAATCTGAATGGAGGGATAATGAAGAAACTCTGTAACAGTAAGAAAATTAAATCGGTATTCATCATCTTCAGAATGGCAATAGTTCTTTGCACTTAATCTTCTAGTATGAAGGGTTGTTGCATAACTCAATCTTTCTCCCAACA